CCCCAAAACCCCAAAACCCCAAAACCCCATATGACAGTAATTGAAGTAATAATTGAATAGTTTTAAATAGAGTTCATGCATTCTTAAAGCTTTGTAAAGTTTTTAAAGCTGACTACATATTAATATTAGAAATTGATGTACCCATTGAAAATCTTTTCTTTAAAGATTCTATTGGGCTTTCTTTGGAGAAATTTACAATCGAAGCGTCAGGGTATTTATTTTTCATAACAGTGTCTAAGTCGCCAATTTCATCTACTAATCCATATTTCAAAGCTTCTTCTCCTAAAAACACATCTGCATTAAATACTTTTTCGTAATCCTCAAGCTTAATTTTATCTTTTCTATTTCTCAAAACTTGGCCTTTGAAGTTATCGAAGGTTTCATCCATGAAATCCAAAACCAATTACTTGTCTTCCTCAGTAAATTCTTCCTACTTATTTAGTGTATCAAATTTCCTTTCAATTAACTTATCACTAGTAGTAATAGTTAATCTATTGATCTTAGTTTAGTCGAATAAACCTCTAAAATTTGGAAGCATCACAATAACTCCAATACTGCCAACAATAGAACTTCTATTTGTGTAAAGTTTATCTCCTAAAATTTTATTTAGATGAATGTGATTACCAGAACATAAAATCCAGTAGCCTCCACTTGCCGCTACATTTTCTGCAAAAGTATAAATGGGAACATCCTTTCTTCTAGCAAAATTTTCAAGCTTATCACCTGATAGTGCACTTTAGACTGCTGAACCACCTGGTGAATTTATAGCCACAGCAACTGCAACAATCTTCTTTTTAGATTTACTTGCTTTTGCCACATCTGCCATTAGCTTCTGTGTACTATTTAAATAAGTTTAAGTAAATTTAGTAATAGCTTACAGCTTTTGATTTATCGGACCATTTACAACAAACTTAGCAACTATCTCTTTTTTCCAGATCAAACCTTTAATGAACTCCATGAATAAGGGGAAATTTAATGAATTAAATTATTATTCTGCTTAATAAGTCTTAATTAATATTTATACTCTGTGATTTGAGATAATTTTTTAATACTCAAATATCCTCCTCACATCTCAAGTACTCACCAACATCAGCTTGATTAATGACTACTACATGAGTGGGATCAAGATCTCTGCATTATGCTGTAGTTTTCATGCACATTCCAAAGCCTAATGGTATATCTGAGATTGAGTAAATGACAACTCCAGTGTTGGAAGGAGTGTTTTCTGTAATACGAGCGAGATGTCCCTTGAGAACGTGATTACCGTAGAGGAATGTTTATTCTCCGTTAGGTTTAACCCACACTTTATACTTTGCATACTTAGCTAAATAGTCAAGGCATGTAATCTAGAGCTTGAACTTTCCAGTTTTAGTGAATTTTCCAAAGCATGTTCCTGCAGCTATTAATTCGTCTCTTCCAATATGTGAGGCCATCTTTAAGACTTAAGCATCAATATAGAAGACTTTATTATGATGAAGTCTGAATACAAATTCACCATCCTCTCTATCAATCAAGAACTTAATGTTTGATCCTAAGAATTTAGCTAGCTTATTGAAGAAAGTCTTGGTCTCGTCTTCTGTTAATGGACGCATTTCTAGTATTTAATAAATAATTTATTGTATAATAGCTTATTCTGCTCATTAATACTTTCAACTGGGGTTTTGGGGTTTTGGGGTTTTGGGG